GCTCTGCTCTCTTGAGCACACGCCTTCCTCTCTAGGGTCGGGAGAGAGAGCCTCAGCACCCCTTCCCAATGAAGCCTCACTCTGCTGTCCAGTCCTTAAATTCTCAGCCTTCTCTTGTTTCGCCTGGAGGTGAGTGATGAGGGGGGGACTAGCAGAACCCTCACTTCAGTGTGCCCCTAGGACCTTATTCTAGAACGTGGGGTCCCCAAGCATTTCTCTTTACCAATACAGCTGCTCTCTTGTGTTTCTCCTTTTGCTTAATGGTTTTTCCAATGGACTGATTATCCCATCCCGCATATTCTCGACTCTAAATGTTACTTAAGAATTTTCCTGAGCTCTCTGCATCTCAACCATCTTGCCCCTGGCTCTGATCGCATGTCCCGCTCTTCCGGTTCCTATGTCAGCAAAGGACCTGCCAGGAGAACAGACGCCACACTGGTCATTTGAATGAGTAGAATTTAGGCTGAGGAACTGTTGTTGACTATGGGGTATCAAAGGCTGGTCAAAGGGCACGGAGGCTGCACAGGGTGATCAAGCTGGAGGCAACTGCCAACCAGGGCTGGGAGAAACAAAGGGGGAGGTTGGGCCACCAGGATTGCAAGCTGAGGACAGGCCTGGCAGAACTGGCAGACCTCTGTGGGGAGGGGACACCAGGCTGCTGGTAGCTCAGAGGACACTGCCAAGAGGCTGGGGCCCAGCCCCCTGGAGAGGGGTCCGTCCTCTTCTGCTGGAGCCTCCAGACGGTTGCAAAGGGCTTGCTTCTAGGAGGGGGGGGGGGATAGACTGGAGACCACCACAAGCAGCTTGTGCCCGGTGGAGGGGTGGCAGAGCAGCAAACACACAGGAAGGCATCTCAGCTTCCTGCCTGCTGTGTTCTAGGCCCTCTGTGCGTGTCCACCTCTGGGAGATTACCCAGGAGCAACTGATGGAGGAGACCAGAGGTACTATGTAGGATCCAGTCCCAGCGAGACAAAGTAGGGTGTAGAGGATGGGTAGAATTCCTTTTTAGGGAATGATGTAACTCAATTTTGCACGTGTTCTAGAATCTAGACTATCACCTTTACACTGCTGGAAACACTGTGTCTTCCAGTTTTGGAAATAATTAAGCACAGAGTTCAGAATCAAAGTTCCTCATTTTTCTCAGCACCTCAGTCATGGTCCCCTCCGCCCTTTTGCTGGTGTTCAGTGATAGTCATCACATAAATATAATTCTGGCTATATTTTCTATATAGTTATTTCACACATCATATTTACCATCTCACTGATTTTAAGATGAGCCACAAAGTTACAACGCTAATTTACCAAGCTTTTTCCAACGATACACATATTTTTCAGTTTTCCACATTAATAGATAATGGTGCGATGAAACCACGTGTGCATATTATTTTTTTCTTCACTGGACGTATTTCTGTATCCTCACGCTTTCCCTCTGTGTTATTTTACCTCATGTTGAAATTACTTGCTATCCCACATCCAAATCTCATTAGAACCATCTCTGCTCAGCCTAATGTCTCCATCTTTCCACATCCTTTCCCAATCCCTTTGCTTAATTACTTTTCTACTGGATTTGTCATTACAGCCCTTATTAAGTTTTAAAAAATCGTGTTTCACTTGGTTACCTTCATCTCAGTTTTCTTAAGCTAAGAGGACCACCTCCATAGGAATTGTTCTGTGGCGAGTGAAGCTTCTTCACCCCAGGCAAACTTGCTCACTGTACAGGCTGAATCTTAATGAAATTTGGTACTTGGACAAGCACAGAAGGCCCTGTTCCCTATGGGACATCTCTATTTTCAATAACTAGTGGCTTCTAAAACTTGGGTTTCAATTAATCGAAGCCATAATTTCTTGGATGTGTCTTTTCTGGAATAAGCCAAAAGAACAGAATATGGGGCAATTAAAAATGTCTCCCTTTGGAAAGCAACATTACATTCAAACGGATGAAGCCATTTACAAAGAAAAAAAAAATTCATGTAGGATTGATTTTGCTGTCCCAGTATAAAATATATCACTATTTATGTGTGGTATCTGCTTCTTTTTCAAAAAGTATTTCTCCAACAGAATTTTTAAAAAATGTTTTGCATGGAATATAGATAAAAATATCAATGGGCATTTTATATTTCATATTTTTATTTCAGAGAGGAAAGGAGGAGGAGAGAAAGAAACATTAATGATGAGAGAGAACCATCGATTGGCTGCCCCCTGCATGCCCCTCACTGGGGATCGAGCCCACAACCTGGGCATGTGCCCTGACTGGGAATCGAACTGTGAACTCCTGATTCATAGGTCAAGGCTCAACCACTAAGCCATGCTGGCAGGGCTCAATGGTTATTTTAAAAGAAAAAACAAAGCACCACTCAATTTTAAGGCCAATGTTTATTTCAGACTTTACAAGAGATCGATAGAGTCCTCTTGCCCAGTTGTCTATTCCTGTCTCCATTATGTTATACTATCATAGAAGCATGGTGTACAAAATTTGTGCATGGGGCCTTCTGGCTACTGTCCAGAGCCTTTCTTCATTCCATACTGACCCCTGGTGGTCAATGCATGCCATAGTGAATGATCAAATTCTCAGTCTCCAGAGTTTGAACTCCCAAGGGGACACTTTGAATATATGATAGTATCCAATCAAGGGCACTGAGAACAACACTCACTGGTATTCCCAAGGTAAATTCACATGATGGAGAAAACAGACTTGTAAGACATTTGTTTTCCAACAAGCCTTATCTGATATAGCATCAGTAGAGGCTCGTTGCACAATATTCATGCAAGAATAGGCCTTCCTTTCCTAGCTTCACTCCCAGCCGCCCAGGAGCCGGCATAACTCCACTCCTTGGCCACTTGGGATCTGGCAAGTCCTCGTTTCTGGCCGCAGCACTGCTCCTGTAGCTCCTTCCGCTGCTCCTCTTCCCCTCATAGCAGGCGTCATACCCCTCTTAGCCACTCTGTGTGCCAGCATATGCAAATTAACCTCCATCTTTGTTGGGTTAATTTGCATACTCACTCTGATTGGCTGTGGGCATAGCGAAGTGATCATTAATTTGCATGTTTCTCTTTTATTAGGTAAGATTAGGATTTATGCACCCCCCCAAAGTTATTGGAATAGTTTAATGTTCAAATGCCTGTTGCTTTTTTAAAAGTAGATTTACAACAATGTACAATAAATAATGTATTTAAAATAATAGGAAAAAATTAAGTGTATCAGGTAATACACTAAATCTAAATGGACCTTTCTCTTATTTAAAAAAAAAAAGATACTGTCAAATAGGCATAAAAATAAACCACAGCTCATGCTCTTTACACATCTAACTCACGACGAAGTGGTGAAGAAAAGTTGAGAGTCAGTGGCCAGGGAGAAGCACAGACAACAGGCACAGCAGTCATCCATTCTGTCGGGGACCATGTACAGTTGGGATTGGGCATGGGCATGTTCTGAGGGCACAGTAAGCTATTGACACAAATGACCCAGACCTGTCTCCATGGGTTGGACTCCCAATACTTCTCAGCTCTCAGAAACTGGATGGAGGAAATGGACACACAGGAACACCTCCACACCGAACTGCTTTTAGGAAGAGGCTCGCGTCCTCGGTTAGCATATGCACATGTCAGTGTCCTTGGTTGTTTGAAGTAGCTTGTTCATTGTGCCTCATTTGAGTTCTTTAGGTCTAGCCCTCACAGGTTCACAGCATCTCGTCCAAGAGCGTGGCCAAGTGCCCTGTTTGGACTGAGCTGTTGGCACGGTCCTTCCTTCCAGATTATCTGCACAGACAGTTCAGGCTCTGCTGTCTTCTTGACCTTCCTCCCACAGTGTTTGAAACGTTGCCATCAATTTAAAGTGGAATAGCTCCAAGATTTCTTTCTGGTTCTGGAGAGTGAGGTCACAAGAGAGCAGACATGTATGTGGCCTCCCAGCAGGGGGCATACGTGAAACCGGCTCCGCAGCTCTGTGTGTGTGTGTGTGTGTGTGTGTGTGTGTGTGTGTGTGTGTGTAGGAGGGTGGTGGTTGTTGGGGGGGGGAGGGTGTCTACACCTCTCTTCCCCAAGGATCACAGCAGCGTCCTGAAAAATCAATTCCTCCCCAAATCAGACCCATCTGGTTTAAGTTTCAATGATCATTTGTGTTCAGCAATTATTGGTTTGCAAGGGAGCCGGGAGAAGCAAACGTCTCGTTTTCAGCACCCCATCCCCAACCTCTTCTTGAAATAAAACTGGCAGAAATAAAAACAGCATTCTGGGAGGCATTTAATAATTTAAACATTCATACATTTAAAAAAATACAAATAAAGCCAAAACCGGTTTGGCTCAGTGGATAGAGCTTCAGTCTGCAGACTGAAGGGTTCCAGGTTTGATTCCGGTCAAGGGCATGTACCCTGGTTGCAGGCACATCCCCAGTAGGGGGTGTGCTGGAGGCAGCTGATCAATGATTCTCCCTCATCGACGTTTCTAGCTCTCTATCCCTCTCCCTTCCTCTCTGTGGAAAATCAATAAAAAATATATATTTAAAAAAAATACAAATAAAAGGGACTCCCAGTCCTTCAAGAAAGGGAGAGGGCGGCGCAAGAGACGGTAGTGAGCCGAGTTCGGAGGGGGATGCGCTGGGGCCCAGCGGGGCGCCAACGGTTAAAGGCGCGCGCGCCGCCACCCGCCCGCCCGCGGGTTGGGAGTCCCGGCGAGCTGTCCTGACCACGGGGCGGTGGCTCCTGGAGGTCACCGGGCCCTTGGGGCTGGGAGGTCACCGGGCCCTTGGGGCCCGCCGCCCGCCCGGCGCGCAGGTGCGGACGCGCGCACTGCCCGGCCCGCGGGCGGAGGGAGCGCGGCGGCGGCGGCGGGGCCCGGGCGCGGAGTGCGTGTGCGGCCGGGGGGCCGGGCGCGGGGCCGCTCGGCGCGGCGTCTTTTCTTCTCCTCCTCGCGGTGATGTCATCCCCAGCAGCGGCGGGGAGCCGGGCGGCGGCGGCGGCGGGGGCGGCGCCGGGCGGCCGCCGCAGGTTCGTGTGCCGGTGGTAATGAAAAGGCACTTGACAGCCGGCCAGGACGCACGCGAGGGAGCGCGAGCCGGCCGGACCGCGGCGCCGCCCGAGCCAATCGCCGTCGCCGGCGGCGGCCTCTCCATGGGCTGCGAGCGGGAGGAGGGGGCGGCGGCGAGCTCTACCCGCCGGGCCGCGGCCGCTCCGAGGTGAACGGCGGCGGCGCGGAGGGAGGAGAGCGGCTCGCGAGCGGCGCGGGGAGGCCGGGCGCGCCGCCGCCGCCGCCGCGATGAATTCCGCCGAGCAGACCGTTACGTGGCTCATCACCTTGGGGGTGCTCGAGTCGCCCAAGAAAACCATCTCGGACCCGGAGGGCTTCCTGCAGGCGTCCCTGAAGGATGGCGTGGTCCTCTGCAGGCTGCTGGAGCGCCTGCTGCCCGGGACCATCGAGAAAGTGAGTGTCCCCGCCCGGGCCCGCTCCCCCCCACGGCGGACAGGCCCCGGCCGGTGGGAGCCCGAGGCGGTGGGGAGGCCCCGCGCCCCGCTTCGCCTCGCCTCGCCCGGGATGCGCAGGGGCGCGCGGGGGCCGGGGCGTTCGCGGTGGCACCTGGTGGCCGCGCGGGGCCGGGGGTGGGGGGCGCGGGGCGCGGCGGAGCCCACGCGTCTCCTTTGTGCGCGGACCCGGGGACGCGGCCCGCGCGCGGGGGGCGCGCTGGCGGCGCGAGGACCCGGTGGCGGGAGTTCGGGGCGCCATTGTGTGCGGCGTGGGCTGGGAAGGGGTTCTGTCCAGGCCGCGTACCAGGGAGATGACCCCGGGGGAGGCCCGGAGGGAAGGGGAGCGCTGTGCACCGCTCGAAGGGAGAGTCGCCCCTCTTCTTGGCCGGACCCGAAAACCGTGCTCCAGCGACCCGCACGGCTTCTTCCGAGGCTTTGTTTGAACAGCTTTTGTTGGTGGTATTGTAGGAGAGTTCCGTCGCCCCCCATTTAATTGACCAATTGCTATGCATTTTTTTTTTTTTTAAGATGCATTCATCAATAGCTGAGGGCTGCGTTGTGAAATGATTTATTGCTCTCCCCCCACGGAAGAATGCCTCCTGCCTCCAAGCCTAGAGGGTGGCAAACACGGGGTTGGAAAAAAAAAAAAAAAAAAAAAAAAGCCTTGGCATTTTTCAAGGCTGGCTTAAAACTCGAGATATCATTTCCAGGTTCCTACCTGATTTTGAACAGAATCCCCAGCCCTGCAGATCCTGCTTTTCCCTTCTTCGTGACGGGTGGTTTCTTTCCCCTGGGCTGGAGGGTGAACCTTGACCTGCATCTCTGCGAGTGATTAAAGTTTGCTTTCCTCTCCCACAGCTGACAAAGCAGGGGTGAGGGGAGAGAAGCGCTTTTAAAACCAACGCGTTCCCTGTGTTTCAAAAAAGCACTACAGTCTCAAGACCAAATTTTTTTTGGATCCAACACTTGATCTTAAGATCCACAATTACTTAAAAGGTGTTAAAATGTAAAAATTGAAGTGCACCATGACTAGGGAAAACTGTTTAATTTTAAAAATGGGTTTATTGGTCCCAAATGCACAATAACAATTTGCTAATAAGAATATTAGGCGACTTTATAAAGTAAAATGTTTAATCTTATAAGCGTGTGCATGTCCTGGTGCTACATTTTAAAGGTCAGAAAATATTTTATTTCATTTGAATTTCACGTGCATACTAGTTTTAGGTATTTTTTTCCCCCTTGCTTGAAATGTATTATATTTATGAAAACAGAATCTGCATTTTAGAATGAATACTTGCCAGCCTGTCCAGGGAAGAAAAAAATGTTGCTTGTAAATGAACCTGATGTCACAATAAAATTGTGATTTCAGACAGGAATAAGGAGCAAGATTTAACTTTCAAGGCACTCATCTGGATATCAGAACCTCTGGTAATAAAAGACAGATGTTGAAAAGAATGGGAAATGCATGAATGCTAAGTTTCCCAAAATAGGCTTATATGAAATACTGTTCATTTCTAAGAGTGAAACTTCATGTGCTGTCTAGAAAAAAACATATCACTATTAATGTATGTTATTTGGCATATTAACTACATTATTATTGATTGACAGACTTCAATAACAATTTTCTTTTAAATTCTACGAAGGTTTTCTTAGAACACTGTTGTGTGCCTTTCATCTCTAACACAACAAAGACAGGAGTGAATAAAATGCTTAGCTTGCCAAAGCCAAATTGAAACAATCCAACATATTCTAAAACTAGGGTCATTTGGAAATTTCTTGTATCGAAGCGATCCCTTTATTTCCCTAGGCCCCAATTGGTTTGTTTTAGGACTGACACCATCAGTGAAAGTTTAACATGAAAGTAGCCAATTATAGACAGAGCTTCTGATTTTCTGTGGTTCAAAGGTAGGTTTTTGGAGTAAAATATTAGCTATTCTCTGCCTCTGACAAGCTTGGGGTTCAGAAGTCCCCATAGCCTTTTGCACTTTCTGGGAAGAGTTATTTATTTGAGCTTTGGGATGTTTGCGTGCACACCAAATAATATAGGCCACAAAGCACACATGCTGAACAGCTTTCCCTGAATGTGGGAATGTTAGTTTTTTTTTTTTTTTTTTTTTCTCTCTCTCTCTCCTTAAAGAGAAACATTTGGAAACTGAACTGAATATTCACATGGAATTGAAAGTATTTTAACTTTACCCCTGTTTGCCACGCGAACACACTGACAACTGGCCAGTGGGGTGTCAGCAGCCTGCAACTTAACATTTGCAAATTCATCATTTAAAACTTGGAACCATTTGAGTGGGGATACTGCATAATTAAAAGTTTTTGTGATGGCTCGGATTTCCCATGTGCCTTTTATTAAGAAATACGCCCTAATGTGTTTCTTACGTTAAGCTGATATGTTCCATTTTTGAACCAGTAAAAGGATGGAGAACCGAGAGTACGTTCATTTGGTTTAGATTGTTCTCACTTTTAAAAAGTTTTTTTGTTTTTGTTTTTTTTGTTCAGGTTCTCCTTTATGCAGTTCTTATATTGAAGGTGGAAGGTTGGATAGGAAAAAGAGGGGATTTTAGACGCAGGGAGAGGAGTTCAGAAAAAGAGATACATTTCATGATGGCGGAGGATAGGTTCTCTGCTGCAAGGGAGTGAAAAGTGGGAGGTACAGTCCCAAATCTTCGTGGATGAGGATCCCACACTTTGATTTTTCTCAGTAACGGCCAGGATGCTTTGCTGACCCACCATATTTTGTCGAATACACTGTTGGCTTCCCTCACTCTTCCTGTGATGAGAAATACACATAGGCCACAGAAGGCAGTGAGCCCTGGGAGCATTGAGCTCATGGAATTAACACTTTAAATATCCCTAGCCTATGAAGTCAAGGGGATGCAAGATACAGAAGTTTTAGAAGATAGAACATTAATGTAAGATCAATAAAACAGCTGAAAATAGCGAAATGCTGCTTGAATTCTACCTGTAGATGAAATTGCTTGATTCACCATGAAAAACTCAAGGAACCCGTCTCCACGCTCAGAGCTCATAGCAATCCATAAAGTGCTGCACAGGAGACACTCCAGCCTGATATTTGTGGGATACACTTGGAGGCCAGATGCTACCTTTCTGGTCGCTCTGGGTGTTTTGGGTGTGCAGGTGTGTATGCATTTAAACTGTTTTAAACTGTTGGGCTGAGTATTAGTGTCCTGGGCTGCTGGGACAAAGTTACCACAGACCAGGCAGCTTAGTCAACCAAACTTATTCTCTCACGGCCCTGGAGGCAAATGCCCCAGATCCGTGGTCTGCAAACTGCGGCTCTCGAGCCACATGTGGCTCTTTGGCCCCTTGAGTGAGGCTCTTCCACAAAATACCATGGCCTGGGCCAGTCTATTTTGAAGAAGTGGCGTTAGAAGAAGTTTAAGTTTAAAAAATTTGGCTCTCAAAAGAAATTTCACTGGTTGTACTTGGCTCAGTTAACTAATGAGTTTGCCGACCACTGTCCCAGACCAAGGTGTGGGCAGGGCGGGCTCCCTCCGCAGGCACTAGGGGAGGACCTGTCCAGGCCTCGCCTAGGCTTCTGGTGGTTGCTTGGCTTGTGGCAGCACAACCCGTCTTCCCACAGTGTCCCCCTGTGGTTGCTTCTCTGCACTCACACTTCCCCTTTCCATAAGGACACCAGTCCTTGGAATAGGACCACCCTACCCCGTATGACGTCATCTGCAATGACCTTGTTTCCAAATAAGATCACATTCTGAAGTATCGGGTGGTTAGGACTCCGATCTTTTTTGGGGACACGATTCATTCTCTAACAGGTTGCAGAATACGTTTGAACCAAATCCATTTATGAAGTGCTTGCCTACCTGCAAGTGCCAGGTGCTACGGGAGCTTAAGAAACTAAACAACAGGCTCTTAGGGGTTTTGTTGAAGGAGAAAATATAAATATAAGAATATGAACCGTATGAGGCAGAAGGAAATCAAAAGTCATAAAGTCCCGTGTAGATGAAAAGAACAGAAGGATTAAATCCAAGGAGACTGCATTTGAGCTGTCCAACCTCCGATGATTTTTTTTTTTTTGACACCAACCGGTGGTCCATGGACCACTGGTGGTCTGTGGGGTCCAAAAGATTGGTGACCACTGGATTAAAATATTGTTCATATTTTCCTAAACTAATCTGGAAGTCTTAGGGATCAGTGAATTCTGATACAGCATAGGAAAAAAGACACTGCGGTTTCTTAAATTGATCCACAACTCGCTTTCTGGTCAGTCCTAGGATTCTGGGGTTGGTTGTGGATGGGGGTGGGAAGGGAAATGAAGTCTCAGTAGGTGCTGGACAGCAGTTCTAAGTGCCCACTGTGAGGAATTTACCTTTTCCTAGGCCCTTTGCCTAGTGATGGTCAGTGATGGCAGTATGGAGTGGCGGTGAGAGACCCTCTTAGCTTTAGGAGGCCTGTGCCTGAGTGGTTCATAAATACTTCTTGATTGGCTGGTAAAGCACTCAGAGAGAAGGTTCTAGTTATAACACATGCTATCTCCTACTGCATTTGTATAGAGACTTCTTTAAACCTTACAAACGGAATTATTGGTGATAGCAAAGCGCTTCTAGGAGAAATTACCTAATGTTTCAGAACAGTTAACTTTGCAGTAATAAACATCTGCTTTCGAAGCACATGACTTTAAAGTAGTAGTATCTCAGTCCCGCATCGGGGTGATTCCGGGTTTGGGCTTTAGGCCCAGAGGACGAGGGCAGTTGTAACTGCATTTGCTAGCTCACCCAACATGAAGCAAACAAACCCGAATTCCGTTTAATTGGGAAAGCCTTACATGGTTTCTGAGAGCCACACTACACATGCTGTTGTGTTTCTGTTGGCATCACACATGTGCATACACTCCCACAAATGTTTGCACACTCACACACACATGCACATCTGACTGGGTTTGCAGGACAGCCGGGGAAAGGATCACCAGCT